GGGGGGGGGGGGTGGGGAACTGAAGAGGGACTTGCCAGGAGGCCCCTGGAGGAGGGCATGCCTCACCCGGGCTCTGCAGGGTGGGTAGGAGTCCTCCAGGGAGCAGGGTTAGCATCAGGGCCTAGGTGGAGAGGAGACGAGGTGGAATAACGCCCTCGTCTCCACAGGCCGGTACCTCTGCTCGGTGACTATGCTCAGGCTTACGGACAAGCAGCTGAAGCACCTGAGTCTGAAGTGGACAGCACTGCTGGTCACTCCCTCTCTCCCAGGAAGCCACTTCTCCGGAGAGCAGGTCGGGGCCGAGGTGCCCTTCAGCCCAGGGCTTTACACTGACCAGGCTGAAATCCTTTTGAGCAACCACTACACCAGCTCCGAGGTCAAGGTCTTTGGTGCCATGGAAGTTCTGGAGAACCTGGAGGTGAGTGGTGACCACGCAGGAGCCAAGGCCTCAGAGGGACCAAGAGGCAGGGAGGACCAGCTGGGGTGTGGAAATCCTGGACCACCTCTCTTTAAAATTACAGTTTTTCAGGGAATTCCCCGGTGGTCCAGTGGTTAGGACTCCACACTTTCACTGCTGAGGGCACTTGTTCAGTCCCTGGTCAGGGAACTGAGGTCCTGCAAGCTGCATGGTGCAAAATTAAAAAACTAAAAAATTTTTAAAATTAAGTCCCTTTGCCCTTTTCCCCATAGCACTGCTGCTGTCTGTCGGCCTGTAGAATCGTGTGAATGGTCGTGATTGCCCCCGGTCTTCCCCAGCTGGAAGTGACTTACGGGGGGAGGCACTGAGTGCAGGGCCCACCTGACACATGGCATCTGCTCAGCGAACGTGTCACGTGTCCATGAATGAATTCAGGGCAGGAGGGCAGGCCGACGAGGGGCAGGAAGAAAAGCTCTAACCTATCACTGATCCACTGATGCCACACACCTGGGGACGATGGTGTCCCCATCTCTGGGCCTGGGTTTCCCCCTTCGTTGAGTGGCGGTTCAGAACACCGGTCCTGCGGCCCGGCAGGCCGGGAGGAGGTCGGGGTGATGTGCGAGGGGCTCGCTGGTGTCTCCGCCGGTTCCTTCTCTGGTCTTGCTGCGGCAAACGTAGCTGAATGTCCTCACAGTGACACAGGCATGGAGTCGCTATTGGTGGTGGCGCGCCTGCTGGGCCCCAGGCTGGGCTGCTGGCCACGGGCCATGGACAGAGCTCCTGGCTGCTCCCTTGGGAAGCTGGAGTTTGGTGATCGCTCACGCACTGCAGCATTTTTTTTAAGGAGCTCTTGATTAGAATTCCATGATATTGATTTGTCCTTTCCCTAAAAATGCCCCAGCATAGACAGCATGCTCCCCTGAGTTTGCGGATTGCACACCTGTCAGAAGTGCCCAGGCCTCCTCACCTGCCTGGGAAGTGGTAACTGGTAGGGTCCCCGCCATCGGCCCCCGGGCCCAGGAGGGCAGCTCACGTGTGTCAGGCAGATGTGGGGTGTGCCCCTCAGTCCTGACGTCTCTCCCAGGTGAAGTCCGGGTCCCCAGCCGTGCTGGCCTTCGTGAAGGAGAAGTCTCTGGGGCTGCCCAGCTTCGTCACCTACACAGTCGGCATCTCGGACCCCACGGCCGGCAGCCAGGGGCCTCTGTCCACCGCCCTGACCTTCTCCAGCCCCACCACTAACCAGGCCATCACCGTCCCCGTCACCATGGCCTTCGTGATGGATCGCCGGGGACCTGGTGCTCGTGAGTTACGGGACAGGACACCCGCTGGGAGGGACCTGGCAGAAGGGACGGGCAGAGTGGTCCAGGTGGGAGTGGAACCGGGAGTCTGAAGGCTGCAGGAGCAGAAATGCAGAATGTGTCTCTCACCCGGGGCCCCTCCCCCTCTGAGCACGCACACGACGTGAGGGGCTCCGCGCACAGTTCGGTAACTCCCTTTCCTTGGACCACAGACGGCTCCGGCCTCTTCCAGCACATCCTGGACTCCTACCAGGTCATGTTCTTCACGCTGTTTACCCTGCTGGCCGCGACCGCGGTCACGATCATAGGTGAGGCGGGCGTGCCGTGTCCCCACCCCCCGATTGCTCCCCCATCCCCACTCCCACTCCCACCCTAACCACCTGTGCGTCTCGCAGCCTACCACACGGTCTGCACACCCCGGGAGCCCACCACACCACCGGCCCTCTCCCCGCGAGCCAGCCCTCGGCACAGCCCGCACTGTGAGTAGCCACCCTGAGGAGCAGGCGGCGGGGGAGGATCTCCAGGTCTCAGAAGGCCTGGCCCTGGGCATGAGCTGCAGCTGGGGTGTGAGGCCCAGAGCGCAGGTCTGCGAGCTGGTGGGGTAACGGGAGCTGGCGGATGCTGGTCCCGGAGGGGCTGGTGCCAGGGAGCCCTGTCTCTGCGGGGGTCGGGGGGGGGGCCGGAGTCCCACCCGCTGGGGCTACCATGAAGGGCTCTCAGCTGGGGCTGGACGGGCTGACACAGAGGTGAGGGTTCTGGGAGGTCCCGACACGGTGTTTCTCTGATGGAGAAGAATCACTGGCCTCATTCCTGTTAGTGGCCCCCCTTCCTCTGGTGGCCCTGAAGCCCTGGTGACCCTGCACAACCCCAGGGTCTCCTCTCTCTGTGAGTGGTATCCCCTGAGGCTGTGCAGTACCCAACCTGCACAGCTGTCCGTGGCAGCCCTGTGTCTCCAGATTCCCATTCAAGGGTTGTCTCCCTTCCACAAGGAATCCTTGAGGGGGTGTCTACTGACCTATGGGGCCATGGCCTGGCTTCAGGGGCTCCGTGAGTTTTTTGAAAGAGGACACAACTGTGTATATAGATTGGTGTTCCTGGGGTAACAAGATCCTACATGCATCCTGGACCCCTAGAATCACAGCCTTCTCTCAGGCCTGCGACGCCCGGGGAAAGCCGTGGACTGCTCAGCAGCTCGCTTCCCCATGTCGACTCCGATTCATCATCCAGCAGTGCTTGCAGTGGGTGGTCGCCTTGCTAACTGCGTCCCCCAGCACACCCCTCCCCGGTTTGTTGGAGCCACGCCGGGGGCTTTGCGTTGCCTCCTGGGCACTCCAGACCCTTCGCACACGTTGGAGTCTGTTTGTGCAGCTTTCTCTGCCCAGATGGACAGGCCCGCTCCCCGTGTGCCCCGTGGACGGGACGCGGCCGTGGGATCCTGGGACCTGGCAGGCCGTGCGCGCCGGGAAGTCAGGGTCACGGTCCAGGCCGCTGCGTGCGCAGCTCAGCAGGCCCCTGTGGGCCTCGTGTGCTGGCCTGGGAGCCGGGGGCGTAGCTAGGCAGCAGCCCCTCGGAGCCGTTGTCTGGCGTAGGCCCTGCGGGGTGTGAGGAACGTAGAGGTCTCCCTTTGGCTCCTTGCTCACCAGGGCTCTCTTCCCACCCTAGATGTTCCTGCCTCATCGCCAACGCCTTTCAACACGCTGCTTCCTGCTCGCAGAGCCAGCCCTCCCTCGGGGCTGTGGAGCCGGGTGTACCCCTCCCACTAGTCAGGAAGGCCAGGACCCCCGTGCCTCCACCACCCCAGGGCCGGGCCTGCTGGGTCCAGCCTGGAGCAAGCCCGGCCGCCGCTGCCGCCCCCGCCCCCCCCTCCTGTAACTAGTTTAGGCCATGCTCACCAGCTTGTTCTTATAAGTAGGAGTTTAAGTTTGTTGTCTGGGGGTTTTTGTTGTTGTTGTCCTGTTATGCTGAGAGTCTTGCAAAGGCAGAGACCTTGGCTCATTCCTCAGCCTGGTTGTCTGGGGTTTCGGGACGATGTACACTTCGGCTTTTAGTTTCTTGGTCTCTAAAATCGCTCCCTTCTCAGGAGCTGGAGCCAGTGGGAGTCTGTGGAGAAGGGGTCTGTAGATGCTGTGATAGCGGTGGTCTCAGGGAAAGGACTTTTTATTGCATTTTTTACTTGTGTGGGTTCTTCTCTCTATGGAAAGTGGACTTTTCCCCTCGTCGGGCTGCTGCTGGGAAATGATTGCAGCAAACAGACACGAGTGACAGGGACTGCCCCGTCCCTGCACAAGGAGCCTCAGGACCGGGGCCAGGGCGCCCGGCTCAGCCTCGGGGGCGCCCGAGACGCCGGGGAGCTGGGAGCCGGGCCTCCTGCCCGCCTCGGGCCACTGTGAGTGGATGGCCATCCTCTGTGGTGCTTTGTTTCCCGAGTGGTGTACTTGGCCTCGGCCCCAGGGGGTCCAGCTCATCCTCCCGGTCCTGGCTTCGCTATCAGCGCAGGGACTTCGGAATCGGAGCTGGGAAATGTCCTTGGCCTGGAGACAGGGACTTTCCTTGTGTTCCACTGTTCCGCCCACGCACAGACCCATGTTCTCTGTCCCTCCCTCTGTACAAGCACCTCGCGGATCTGAGCCTCTGCCGCCCCTCGGGACGGCCTCCCTCCGGGCAGCTCCCAGGACGGGCCGGGGAGGGGGCGACTCGGAAAACACCCTCCTTCCCAGCCCTCGTCCATACAGCAGCTGAGACCTCCAGGACGCGGCCCCTCCTGAGGCCGGGGTGCCGTCCCGCCCCCAGGAAGGCCCGGAGCCTGGCAGGCGTGGACCCCGAGCTGCACACGTGAATCCGCCTCAGCCCTTTGGGACTGAGCCCTGCGATTTATTTTTTTAAAGCTGGAGACAGGAAGAATTGTGCCTTGCATATTACTTGAGCTCAAACTGGCAATTTGGATGTAAATAGGCGCATTTCTACTTGGTTTATTTAATAAAGCTCTATAATTTCTTAAGATGAGCGTGATTATTGCCGGAATCACATGCGTCCTGCCCAGAAAGTGACCCAGGCCTGGTGACATTGCTTGCCGTTGTGTGCATTTGGGGAGCAGGTCTGTGTCCTGCCAGCCTCTCTTCTCTAGCTGGGCAGCCCAGCCTCCCTCCCACCCCCGAGGGACCGGCAGGCACCAGGGCGGGGTGCCGTAGTGTCTGCCTACAGCTGCCTGCTCAAGGCCCCCAGACAGGCCTTCCCTGTCGGAGGACGTGGCAGCCCTGCCCACACATCACTGGGGTCACCTAGACGGCCTCTCGGCTCCCCTCCCTCTCCAGCCGTCCCCTTCTCTCTGCAGCTCTGGCTCCACCACCCCACCCCCTGAGACCATCTCCCCGGGTCACCAGCGCTCTGCCCGGCCTCTACAGCCAGACACCGGCCCCATTAGTTAACTGGCCCTGCCTTGCTGGCAGCCCCTCCTCTGTGTCCCCCGGCCCCTCACCCTGTGCCCCTCAGGGTTGGCCCTCCCAGCCCCAGGCCGTGCCTGCGGCCTTCACGGGGCAGTCGTGCGAGGTCATCCTGAGTGCCCCGTGGGGCAGGGCCTGGCATCACGTGTCACAGGGGTGGGAACGGAGGCTTAGAGACAGGTAGCCACCCAAGGTCGCAGGCCACCCAGAGGTGCTGCTGGTGGAGACCAGCTGTCCCGGACATCACTTGCCGGCCTCCTCGGAGTCTGAGCCCCTGACGCGGAGCTGGAGAAAGAGCAGCCAGAATTTCAATGCAAAATTTGCATTTCCCACAGCCCCTTGCGCTGCTAGAAGCCATGTGGGGCCAGAGCAGAGCAGCTGTGTCCCAGGCAGCTGGTGAAACGGTGCCCCGAAGGGACGGGTGCCCTGTTCACCTCCCGTCCTGTCCCATCAATGCTGGCTCAGCAGACCCGGTGGGGCTCTGCCTGGCAAGGACGGTCGGGCCACCAGAGTCACTGGGCTGTCACTAGGCTGGGTCCAGCCTGCACCCCAACCCGGGTCGGCACCCCCTGACGCCCAGGCATCAGGGGCAAGAGTTTTGGGCTTTCTTCTCCCCAGACGTCACCATCATCTTAAAGCATGTGCTGCTAGAAACAACCAGACCCGGCCAGAGGCGAGGGCGTTCACAAAACCCAGTGACGTCCTTCAGCTTTCTGTTCCCAAACTAACCAAGCAACTTTCACTCCCTAAAGGGTGCCAAAAAATGCTTTTAGCACCATTTAGCACTAAAATTATAATATTGCATATAGATTATTTTTTCCTCCAGAATTCCTAAGTTTGGCCAGAAAATAACGCTGTGTCTCTCTCTGTCTCCCCCTGTTTTTCTGTGTGTGTGTTGGTGTGGGGGGCATACTGGAAATGTTGCATCTCGAGGTCTGAAATACCACCTATGAGACAGCCCAGAACCTGGGCATCCGGGTGGGTGGGAAAGGCATGGAGTTTAGAGATGAGGTGGCCAGGGGTGCAGGCCCCCCGTCTGGGGCTAGAGCGGAATTGTGTTCCCTCCCTGCGCTGCAGTGTTCCCCGGTCTGCATCTGGCCTGCCTGCCACCCCCGGTGGCTCCGGGGGAAGAGGTGGTAGGTGGGCTGCATGCTCAACCCAGCCCTCAGCCTCCCAGGGCCTCCCCCAGAGGCTGATTGCATTCCCCCCATGGAGGGGGCGCCACGGTCACGTGACTTGCTTTGGCCAACGGGAAGTGGGTGGAAGTGACCGCATGTCAGTTCAGAGCCTGTGCTTAAAGAGGCCTCACCGGTTTCTGCTCACCCTCCTTGTCCTTCTGCTATTGACAGAATAACAAGGAAACCCAGGTAGCTGCTGGCCCCTGGAGGAGGAGAGACATCTAAGAGGGACCTGAGACAGATCTGCCCATCCCAGACCAACTGATCTGCAGACTTGTGACCTTGAGAGTAAATGATGATAGTTACAAACCACTGACTTTGGGGACAGTTTGTTAGGCAGCGCTGTTGCAGCAGTAGGTGACTGATACAAAGCGTGGCATGGATTCCCTTCTGGCTGAGCCCATCAGGGTAGGTTTCTGCCACTGTCACAGAGTCTGATTGACATGGTTGCAGCCTCGTGCTCCCTTACCTTCAGTCTGTTTTCTCCTGGGCCCTGCCCAGGGCTGCCCCTTTGGCCCATCCCACTGGACAGGGCTTTCCAGTGGCCCTGGCAGAGGCTGGAAGGGCGCCTGGTGCTCAGAGCCTGGGCCAGGCACTCAGGCAGGCACCTCAGAGGCCCCCGTTTCCTCCCTCTTGGGAGGGGCCCAGTCAACCTCACCCTCGGGCTGCTGCTCTCATCCTGTTGTCACCCCAGTGGGCTGGGTGAGACATGTCCTGCTCATGGCAACAACCCGGAGCAAGAGGGCAGGAGGGAACACACAGCCCCCCAGGGGCTGGGCTGGGACAGGCCTGCTAGCCGGTGCTCTCCAGTCCCTTGAACAAAACCAGTCGCGAGTCTGAATCTAGAATCAAGACTCAGGAATAGTCTGCCTTGGCTGGGAGGAGCTGCAAAGCCACAGATGTGAACGGAGGGGTCAAGAGTCAAGGTCATTAAATAAATAAATAAATTTATTTAACAAAAGAGTCAAGGTCATTAACACAAAGCAGTCATGGGTTGTCTTTTTTCTTATTGTTCAACTCCCTCATCATACATCATACAGATGGGAAAACTGAGGCCCAGAGACAGGAAGGGACTAGCAGGGGCCACCCCTTGAGTAGCACACCAGGCCCCGGCCCTGAAGGTCAAGGTCGTCCCCCACCACCACCCCCGCCTCCCCAGAGCAGTGACACAGGTCATGAGGACGCATTAGTCAGTGGCGTGGGCCTTTCACCCTATGATTAGTTCTCAAGGATCCTGTCTAGATCCACAATTTCAACATCACATAAAGTGAGCAATCTCAGAGAGAGAGAAAGGAAGAAAACAAAGCCGGGAACCGTGCGTTTGGTGATTCTCTATTATTTTGTTTTATGTTGTATGTAATTAGCACATAAACTTCCGTGGAAGATTTCATTAGCAGACTCATCAGGTGACCACTTTTTCACGTGGGGAGTATTTACTGAAGGCAAATAAAGACAATTTATAAGAACCAGTAAAGTGGAATCCCATTTTCCCATTGCTCCACAGCTGCAAGGTGTAATGGCTCCAGGGCAGTGGCGGCTCCCTCTCTGGGTCCTTCTCCACAGAGGGGTACATCAGGAGGCCAAGGGCAGCAGCCCAGAGCCTGGTGGACAAGGCCCAGGCACCAGGTAGATCTCCTGCCTGTGCCACTAACTAGCCAGGGGACCTTGACCTTGAGTACTTCCTGTCATCTCTCTGAGCCTCAGTTTCCCCGTCTGCAGAGTGGTAATTATCACACTACCTCCTCCGTAGGTGTGCCGTGTGGACTGAATGAGCTCCTGTATTAAAATCCCCAGCATGGTGGTGAGCAAACATTTGGTGCTCAGCAAATAGGAACCTTTCTGCCTTCTTCTCCCTGGTGATTAGACACAGTTGTCCTCACTCTCTTGGGGGCCACGACACATCCCGCAGGAGTCCCTGTCACTGCTCACCCGGCCAACTGAAGCAAATCAACAATCAGGTCCAGGCTCACAAACGTGGATGATGGGCCAGGCAGGCGGCCCCCGAATGCAAGGGGCTGGGGGTGGACGCTGGCGACCTGAGTGCACGGCCTCACCCACTGACCTCCAGCTGCCAGGTGGGGACAAAGCCCAGTGGGGCCCATTCTTCTAGTTTTCTAGAGACTCGAAAAATCCTTTGGGGGGGCA